CAAATTTCAAACAACAATTGACAGTGGCGCGACAATAAATGTGATCGATCGTGACACTTTTAACAAAATGCAAGACATCAGTAAAATTAACCCGCACGAACACGAAAGCTTTCGCGTATAATACGAAATCACCAGTTGAATTTTTGGGAAAATTCGAAGCGGTAATCGAAACACGAAAACGAATATCTGTAGCCACATTCTATGTCGCTAAAGCTGCGAACTGTGGAAACTTACTTTCTCTTTCTACTGCACAAGAACTCGGACTTATTAGTTTGCATCTAGACAAACTGACATCAAAGGATGCCGCACTAGAAAACATCCTTCAAAAGCATTCTAAAGTTTTTTCCGATCTTGGAAAATTGAAGGGAGAAAAAGTCAAACTAGATATAGACAAAACTAAAATTCCGAAAGCACAACCCCAAAGGCGCATACCCTATCACATTCGAGAAAAAGTGAAAAACGCGATAACTGAATTAGAAAATCAAGATGTCATTGAAAAAGTGCCCGAAAATGAAGCTACTCGTTGGGTTTCACCGATTGTAGCTGTTCCCAAAAAAGACGGACAGGTTCGCATATGTGTCGATATGCGGCTCGCAAATGAAGCTATAAGACGAGTACGCCATCCTATACCAACAGTAAATGGTGTTAGTTTTGCCCTGAATGGAGCAAAATTTTTCTCGAAACTTGATTTGAGTCGAGCGTATCATCAGTTAGAACTGGACGAACAGTCTCGTTATATAACAACCTTTAGCACTCATGTAGGTTTGTATCGCTACAAAAGACTAAACTATGGTACAAACGCTGCAGCGGAGATATTTCAGTACACACTCCAAACCGCACTGCAAGGGCTTAAAGGCGTCAAGATCATAGCTGATGATATCATTGTATTCGGCTCAACAAGAACTGAACATGACGCTAATCTTGACAAATGTCTACAACGACTTGCAATGAAGGGCTTACGACTAAACCGAAGCAAGTGTAATTTCCTTAGTACTACATTGTCATTTTTCGGACAGGTCTTTTCGAAAGAAGGTACTCATCCTGATCCTAGGAGGGTAGCTGATCTATTAAATGCACCTCAGCCAAATAATGCACATGAAGTCAGGAGCTTTCTTGGCATGACCAACTATAGTAGTAACTACATTCAAGATTTCGCAACACTAACTGCTCCCCTTCGTGACCTGACGAAAAAGGATGTTCGTTTTGAGTGGACTCAAACACACCAAACTGCTTTTGAAAAGCTGAAAAACACTCTTGCAATTGCTCCATGTATGTCATATTTCGACAAAAACAAACAAACTTTTGTAACAGTTGATGCTAGTCCTGTAGGAATTTCTGGAATTCTTTCTCAGAAACCAAGAAACGGTGACGTAGACAGTCAACAGATAATTGCATATGCCAGTCGGGCGCTGACTGATACAGAAAAGAGATACTCCCAGACGGAAAAAGAAGCGTTAGCGATAGTATGGGCAGTTGAACATTTCCATTTATTTCTATATGGAAGTGAATTTACACTAATAACTGACCATAAACCTTTAGAAATTATTTATGGTCAACGTACAGCCAAAACATCAGCGCGAATTGAAAGATGGGTGCTTCGCCTCAACCATATACATTTAAGATAATTTATAAATCAGGTGCCAGCAACCCTGCGGACTACCTTTCTCGTCATCCAACAAACGAAAGCAAACGAAAACAGGAGAAGATGACGGAACAATATATTAATTTTATAACTCAGAACAGTGTCCCTAAGGCGATGACATTACAAGAAATAATCAATGCAACTAACGCAGACGCGGCACTAACAGCACTCCATGATGCAATTAAAGCAAACAAATGGGATTCCCCAATTGTAAAACCGTTCAAAGCCGTAAAAAACGAACTTACGTCTACCACACACAGTGTTATACTTCGAGGAACACGGATTGTCATTCCTGCGGCTCTACAACAACGTGCAATAGATATAGTACATGAGACACACAGGGCCGCCGAGAGGGGGGGGCAGGGGGGGGGGGCAAATTGCCCCGGGCCCCGAGTTGCTGGGGGCCCCTGAAAAATCTTTGTTGGGCCCCAGCCTTTTTTGTGGTTAAATATTTCCGCGCAAAGGACAAGATATCTGTTTTCTTGGGTTAATCACCGGAATTTGGCATAAAAAAATGAGATAAAGTCCCTCGAAAGCAATTGCAACGTAGTCGTCCGGAAAAATTTTGTATTCCGGAAAATTTTTTTTACCCCTAAAATGGTACACTGACCGAAATTTTTTGGCGACGGGGGGGGAGAGGTTGTTCTCCGGAAAAAAATTTGTCCGGGAAAAATTTTTTAGATAGGGGCCCCTAAAAAAAAATTTGCCCCGGGCCCCCGCCAACCTCTCGGCGGCCCTGGAGACACACTTAGGAATAGAGAAAACGAAGTCTCTAATTCGTGAAAAAATCTGGTTTCCGCAAATTGACAACCAAGTCAAAAACACAATTGCTAAGTGTACCACTTGTCAAGTTGTCGGACAGGCGAATCCTCCAGAACCATTACGTATGACCGAAATGCCAGAGTTACCATGGAGAAATGTCCACATAGATTTTTATGGTCCACTACCATCGTCTGAATATCTGTTAGTGGCGGTAGATAGATACTCCAGACTTCCAGAGGTTGAGATAGTTCATTCAACACGAGCCTCAACAGTCATTCCAAAACTTGACAAAATGTTCTCAGTCCATGGCATTCCTGACACCCTTATATCTGACAATGGTCCCCCTTTTAACGGAGACGACTATGCACGATATCTGAAAGCCCTTGGTATTCAAGCTAAGTTTTCAACACCCTACTGGCCCCAAGGTAATGCTACAGTTGAACGATTTATGCGACCGTTAGGAAAAGCGCTCAAGACAGCGACACTCGAAGGACGACCATGGCAACAAGAATTGAACCGTTTTCTTTTACAATATCGTACCACTCCACATTGCACTACAGGAGTACCTCCATCAGAACTGTTGTTTAACCGAGTGATAAAAGGAAAATTACCAGTTATAAACAGCAAGAAAATTGTCAATCGACATAAAGAAGCTCGAGACAATGAGAAAACACGACAAGAACGCAACCGAGAATATGCAAATCAAAGGAGAAACACAAGAAAAAGTGATCTACAAGTTGGAGATTATGTACTGGTTAGACAAGAAAAGAAAAACAAGCTAACTGCGAATTTTAATCACAAACCGTATAAAGTGATAAAGAAAACTGGTTCAGAAATACTTGCTCAAAGTAAAGATGGTCATATTGTGAAACGGAACGTGTCACATTTCAAGCGAATAAATAAACCACGAGAAGAAGACACTGATGATGAAGGTTTCGATTATGAAGAAAACTCGCAGGACAATCAGCCATCCATCAGTAATGAAAACAACGAAGTACCAAGAAGATCAAGCCGAATTCGAAGACCACCGAATCGATACGGACATGAATATCCATCAAATCTAATAAACTAACATAACTATGAAATAGCTAAGTAACTTCAAATTTAATTAAACATTTTGATATTTGACAATCAAGTTAAAACAAAGGGAATGGTATAGTAATGTACGTCTATTAATCATTAACGCACGTATTACGATTAGTTTATATTTAGAATATGGACATTATATATTGAGTTGTTTACATGTAGCCGAGATATCAAGAAGTCTATTAAATAAGAGAATATTATAACTCGTTTGCGCCTTAATTGTGTAATGCTTTAAATTATTATTTGTTTAAAATTAATTGTAGATTATCTCCAGCATGTTCATGTGGAGATTCTTGTGAATCAGTCATTCATTATTTGTTATATTGTCCTCGTTATGCTGCTCTTAGATTATCCTTACTCTCGGTAGCTGCTCAAATTTATGGTGAAAGCTGGTATCTCTTGTCCGATTCTCAAAAGTCTAAAATATTTTTGTCTGGTTCAACTGATTTGAGTATAGAAAGTAATAGATGTATATTTATGCATGTTCAAAAATATATTAAGCAAACTAATCGTTTTTCTAAGAATTAATTTATTACTTTGAACCTTCAATTGAACCAGCTTTTATCACTTTTGTTGGTTTTTTTCCCTCTTTCTTTGCAATGTTCGTCATCTCCTGTTGTGTATATTATTTAATTATTTGTTAAATGTAGTGTGAGCCCCTCGATGAGCGTCCACGCTCTTGGGTATAAACATTAAAGTTATTAAATATGTTTATATATATAAAAAAAAGATACCGCTTGTTGTAAAATTACATATCAAAGGCTCAACCTACAGATAACTCGGTTATCTATAGGTTGCGTGTTTAACTGTAAGCAATTAGAAGAATCCGCAGAAGACACGTGGTGACTACAATATATTATATATAATAATATTTGCATTGCAACTAATTGCGGCAATTTCATTTCGTAGTAGATGGGGGCAATTTCACGGGAGGCAAAAGGACCAAAAGTTTAGCCACTACCACAGGTTGTTGACTTTGAAACTATCTTACCTGTCCAATTCCGCCATTCTTTCCCGTGCCATCTGCTGACAATTGGTTGGCAAAATTTCGCAGCTCAGTATCTTGTTTCACGTCCTCATCTTTTTGATAGTATCTAATAACATAATGTGTCTTAAAGTTTATATTGCGGCTTCTACTCAATTGGCGAACGTTCTACAGTACTACAGGCCTGAGATTTGTGAGTGAAAAGACTAAGATTATAAAAGAAAAACATTTTTATTTTTGAGCGCGCGGTTGTAATGACTACACTTATTCAATTTTTCAGCTCTATAATATCAGATTGGTTATTTTACCCACTATGTAGCCAATGCATAGTATTAGCACAGACAAATAAAATATTAAATGGCAATTATCTTTCAAGCAAAAATTTACCAATGATAACGGTCCTCTGAAGGGGACCACAATAAAACACAATATTCTGTTTTCAATAGCTCTCTTTAGAAATATCTTCACCAAGTAAAATGTTGTATGTATTTTATAGACCTTATTCATAAATCGTGACGAGGCCTCGTATCCTAGGATACGGGAACAAAACGCGGGAAAACAAGCGAAAACTGCTTGACAAGCCAAATTCAGATGCTATTGTGTCGACTTTAACGGCTGGTTTCTTGTTGCTTTTTGCGATTTATGACGATTTTTGTGTGTATTTTAAGACTTTGTGCCCACAACGAAAGCGGTAAACGAGTATATTATAAAAGCGAGCGGTTTTTCTCCCGTTTTTGTGTGGAAAAATGACAACGTAGCGATGGTGTTTATCCAGAAGCGAAAAACAGTATTTTACTGAGATTTTAACGTCAATATAAAGGTTATTCCGTGAAAAATCAAGACAACTATGGAATGGAAGTATAATTTTTCGAATTTGACATAAATATGAAAGAAAATAACAGTCAAAAATCACAAGAGAACGTCAAATGTTATTGGTTCGTACGGAAAAATATGAACTATGACTGTGGCTCGATAACATTCTGCAAGCAGCTTACAAGTTTAAAAAATGAAGGCTACATTACCTGAGTGAGTTGTAATCTTATTTCTTCAACAATTGTTTCATATTTCTTACGATTTTGGTGTTGTATAGACGTTTTGTAGCCTTGTTGGTTGTTTGTTTCGGCCATACAAACTACGACAATAATACAAAGTCAAAGGTTTCCTTTTTCGATTGACTCCAGCATCTTTTGCTTTAAATGTCATGTTATATTTTCTCAGAAGTATTTTTTTCAACTTTCAAGCTCAGTTTTATAGATATATTTTCGAAAAAAGCCGTAATATTCACGAAAAAAAGCTGCCATAGCCGACAGCAAAAAAACATTTTGTCAATTTTCCCGCGTTTTGTTCCCGTTTCCTAGGATACGAGGCCTCATCACGATTTATGAATAAGGTCTATGACTGTTATTTTCAGTCATAATTATACAAGACATACTATAAGTAAATCTCTGACTCGCAATAGCAGAAAGATGACCTCGAGCTGGAAGAGGGCAGAATGCAGCCTTCCGGGACATTTTTAGAGAAACGCCAAATCAAAAGTTGCTCCATAGCTTTTCGTGAACTTAGATGCGTTTTCCTATTCCGATTTTTGTGTCTGTCATGCTCAATCCTAGAAACCAAATAATTTTTCCCAGTCCAGCAAAAATAGGCAAACCCCGGTTCCCATTTTATGGCACTTAGAAAGGGAAAATTGTTTCTTACAATCTCACATAATCCCCAGCAAAATCACCAACTTCTTTCCAGATAAGCAAGCCATCATCTCTGTATGGGAAATATGGTAATTCGTCCACACTATCAACGCCACGTTTCTATAAAACCATGTTTCAACACAATATGTTAATACCTTTGCAGTACTTTAACGGGTTAAATATATTCAACTGTTCGTTATGTCGCGTCAAACAGTACACATTGACAATCTAAATATCTTAATCTTATATCGTTATACGTACGTGTCAAAGTGCGTGTGATTATGCACGCGGGATGTTGCAAGACGTTCGGAAGTATGATTCGAAATAGGTCTTGTTTAAAAAGCCTGAGGTCATTACTATCGCCAAGTAGTTCAATTATGTTTTATTTGCTCAGTGATGATTGCAAATCCCACGAAGTTATCCGAACCACGAAAACAGATTATAAAGTAATTTTTATCCGCATTGTTGCCTTCCAAGTTCTTCAATTCGGTGCCAAGAAGAGTTTGAAATGACATTTCCGAGCCTAAACGTTTTTTTAGTTTTCCCGAGGAAGCGTTATCTTCCTGTTTGAGAAACCTGTTTGCATATATTACCTCAAGGTTCTTATCAAACTCGGTATCCGCCCACGACATACTGGGGTAAGCTTTCTTAAGAAGTTCCACTCCACCGACATGCCCAATCGCAAACAACTTATGTAAAAATTCCCCAGGGTTTAGGAGAGCCTGTATTCCAAGACTGTTTGTGACAAACAGACCTCTACAATGCCATTTGAATATTTGATGAAGAGGATGAAAGAACGATAAAGTACGTCGCATGATGACACAGATTGGTTCCATGAGAAAATGTGTTTTCAACAGGTGTTCGATAATTTCGGCATACGTTATATCTGCTCGTTGAATTTCTTCCTTCGCCATCAACCATTTCGAGCCGTCAATAGGAGAAACTACTGGCGAATCTGCGGAAACGTAATGGGAAAATAAGAAAGACTATATGTAAAATAATAATATACATGAAATCCGACTATATTGACCATACCGGAATTCATGATCAGTTTGCGCAATTTGTTTGGTCTGATCAGTAAACCACCACTTATACAGTGAGATGAATTTATTTTGATCTAGTCTTAGGACTGAATTAATTTTGACCCAAGCTCAAGGACTGAATTAATTTTGATCCAGTGGCCTAGGACAAAATTAATTTTGATCCAGTCCTATATAGGACTGGAATCCATACGTCGTTACGTATCCAATATTATCATAGAAATTATTATCAATGTCAATGAAATCAGTTAACATTTTGTTTTTAAGACCTGTACACTCTGTTTGTGGTAATTTAATGTCCTGACTAAATTTCCTAATGGTCAATTTAACCATAGCTGGATAGCCCTGGTTAATGTGTTTATAGTCCAGGATTCCTGGTTAATTTAACTGTTCTATATGGGTAAATTAACCAGATTATGATAGGTGGACTATTAACCAATAATTCCTGGTAAATGAACCATGTAAAAAACTTGGTTAATTTAATTAGGAATACTGGTTAAATTAGCCACGATAGTGATCAAATTGACCAGGGCTGTGGTTAAATTAACCATGGAATTTAACCAGGCCATTATTAAGTTACCCCAAACTGTATTAATAACATCTTATTATCCGAACGCGAGGTCTGTACAGAGAAATATCGGACCGAGGTCTTTTTTGTACAGACCGAGCCCGTAGGGCGAGGTTTATACAAAAAGACCGAGGTCCGATATTTCTATGTACATACCGAGCAAGCGAGGTTAATAAAAAGTTTATTATATGGCATTTATACTTGAAACAAACAAGAAATGCATGATTTGAAATGCATATTAGTAACGTGGTACACATTTGGTCGAAGGAAACAAAAAAATACTATTGTATTCCTTCTTTTCCACTAAAAACCATTCACAATAACAAATTTAATTATAATTTTCAAATTTTCAATTGGTTTTGCTGTTTTGTTTTCAAATGCATGCGTTTGTTTTTACGTAATGGACCAGCGGTCCATTACGGGAAATAATGCACCGCTGAAAGTGCTTCTCAGCCAATCAGTGATGCTTGCCATATAGTAATTTTATATTAACCAGGACGTTTTAAATATTGTAACAATGTTTGCATTGACATTGAATAAACGAAAGTTTACCTGAAGATAAGTCCGTCTGAATCGCGACTGGTTTCAATTGCTTAACGCCTCCTACGTCCGCTACAACAAACGTACAGAACGGACTTCGTGATCCTCTCATTTCTCGCCTGTCTGTCGTGTTCCGTTCGGTGTAATCCTCACTGTTATCAAGACCATAAAGCAATTTGTAGTCTAGTATGAATACTTTCCCTGAATTGATCATCTGAGCACATGAAAGAAAAATGACGGTTCATCGTTACTTGAAATGGAAGCATAAAGATAACTTCCCCATACAGTTCGTTGGCGACTCAACGCTTATTATTTGTTATGCTACAATTTTTTCGCTATAAATTTTTAACAGAAGATCTTATAGATCTTAAAAGGGTTTAGCATGGATGCTATTTGCATGACTGGAGTATGGATCGTTGATGGCATATCACTGCAGTTGGTGAGTGTGTCTTTATTTTTCCTCATTTACCTCAGAAAATGTAGACTTTTTCCCCAATGCTTGTTTCATTGCCGCGTCCCAATCGTAGGCTTTGTTCACGAAATCTTGATTAAAATCTGAAATATCAACAAGTTTCCCAAATCATCCTTTTATATACGTAGTTATTTACAGCTCTAACAGGCAAACCGAGGCCGCTTTTACGTATTTTTAATGTTTTCAAACTAAGCCAAAACCAATCACCATGTAGCTTTGTCATAGGTTCATAACCGGAAAATGTTTAGTCAAAATGACCCGCTGGTGACTGGTTTTGGTTCAGTTTGAAAACATCATCAAATATGCAAAAGCGGCCTCGGTTTGCTCGTTCGAGCTGTAACAATTGTTATTTTTTTCGATTTTGATACAAACATCAAGCGATATGTTAATGAACGTTAACGACGTGTCGAAGTCATCATGCAAAAGTTCATTATCAAAGTTCACTTGAGTAATGGATGATTCCAGCTACAGACTAAACTTTGAGGGTCCTGAAGGGGTCCCAATCCCATTTCCCACCTGAAATTTTGGCAAAATCCCCGGCAGTCCCAGTTGGATTTTTATTAGAAATCCCAGTAGATCAATAAAAAACACATTATTTATCAGGCCGTGTGTGGCACCGTGTGGCTGAAGCGGATGTGTTTTGCCTTTGAGGTATATACTATCAGGGTTGTGTATATACCGGAAACAAGGCATATATTCCGCTGTGCATCTGACTTGGGGACGGGAAAGGAAGTCCTCTAAAATGGGAATGGGATTGAGGTAATGCGAGTCGATTCCCAATTTTTCCACGTTTTAAGTATTTTGAAATACGATTTTGATCCGTTTTTGGTGTCTTTGGTCATGATTTTTGTTGTTAACTATATTATTCATAGCCCTACCTGCGAACAGGCATACCCCGGCGCCCGGAATTCTGGGTTTTCTGATTATGCGCATTCCCAGTGGCCAAATCCCAGTCCCAGTAACCCGAATCCCATTTTCCCAGTGTAAAAATAGATCAATCCCAGTTCCCATTTTACCCCTTCAGGACCCACAACTTTGATCCAGGCAAGAAAGACGAAATCTATCATTATAGCCCTAAAGAGCCTAAAATTTGAGTAAAAAAGTAAATATAGCCCTGTCGTTACATTAGCCAATTTTGTATGTTAGTATTATGCGCAGAAAATACACCACTTTCGGCTCAAAAGTGGTGCATTCAGTTTCCGCGCGTGACATTAAAATACTCAAAATTTGCTAATTTCACGGGGCAATGTTTTCCGTGATATATTTTACAACATTTTGCAACCATTTTACTGATTTAAGGATGTTCTTTTAAGCTATAATGATAGATTTCGTCCTTCTTGTCTGGATCAAAATTTACTCTATAGCTGGAATCTACAGCATGCAGAAATGTATAATGATCACGTATTAATCATAATCATAAGTAATTTAAAGATTTCTCTTATAGTAATTGAACCTTTGTATGATGGCTTCGAAAAGTCGTTCATCAGTAATAACAATTTTGTCACTTATACATTTGTCTGAAATTGGTTTCAAAATATTTATTGATAAAAATAATTTTTCATTTTAATTATATTCTATCCATGATATCGTAAGGATTCTTTCCATGCAATTTTATCCCATTATCCCATACCGTATTTACTCGTTTGAGCGCCGCCCCCGATTGAGCGCCGCCCCCGAATGAGCGCCGCATTTAAGATCATATTTTTTTAAAGAGCGCCACCCCCGAATGGGCGCCGCACTAAACAGTGTAATAATTTTCCACCGTCAAATGGGGACATTTAGTGACAAAGACATTCAAAACTTGTTTATTTTATTGTCAAAAGTTCTTGATATAATTCACAAATAAAAGATTTTTTTAAAGAGCGCCGCCCCCGATTGAGCGCCGCCCCCGAATGAGCGCCGCATCTGAAGCTCTGAAAATTTAAAGAGCGCCGCGGCGCTCAAACGAGTAAATACGGTATGCCTTTATTTTCTCACCTTCTATCGTCATTTTTCTCAAAGACATTGTATTTAAACCTGCCAGGCGTTGCTGCGTAAACACATCGTCACTTTGCCAGGCTTCTTCGTAAATGATATCTCTAAACGGCAATTCTTGTGAGGGGTACTTCATGTATTTTGCCATGGGTAAAAGGTTAAAGCTTTTATCCTGCAAATTAAATTCCTGAAGTAAATTCGAAGAAAAAAATACAGCCAGAGGCGTAGCCAGAGGGGGGTGTGGGGATGCAACACCCTCGCCCCATTCATCACGGATTCGGCAAATGTCTGCTAGACTCGGCAAATTGTTTTCGGATTTATCGGGAAATTGTTTGTGGAAAATGTGGAATATTTGATTTTGAAAAATGCCAGAAATCTGTATGTGAAAATGTTTGAGAAACTAACTTTGAAAAAGGTTTGAAAATTAAATTTGAAACAGGGCGGAATTGACGTCTAATACCTATTTGTAAACCATTTTAGTACCATTTTCCCCGGCTAATCCCAGTTTGTGTAACCGACCGCATGCATTGCTAAGACTATTTGCACTTTGCAGTTTGCTTGCACGCCATTTTTTTTCTCTGACGTAATGGCTATTTTTTTCCAAGCATTTTTCTTTCCAGGCATTTTTTGGGGGATTTTCACCACCGCCCCCCTCCCTGGATTTCTAATGGTCCGCCCCTAATTGTACTGCAGTACAATTAATGATATCGATTTTCCCAAAACAAACAAAATGGCGGAAAGATACTTAAAAACAAATGAAATTGCCCTCGAGGAACTTAAAGCAAAAGAACTAAATGAAAATACGAACAAAAGCACCAAATTAATTTTGGTTGAAAGTCTGGCAGGACTGGGCTTTGGCGAGAGAATTACCTCCTCCGCAGGCCATACAGCCCGTAATGAGTATGCCCGTTCGCAGGTTGAAATTTGAAATTTGAGACGAAGGCTTGCGTAGCTGTAAGGCGGCTGAGGCCTGCTGATAACATGTCGATTACTTGGCTTTTGGTGTCAATTACTGGGTTGGGTCAAATGTCTTCAAAAAATATGGCACATCGTCTGCCAATCTTTAGCAATTCCGTTTTGCGAGTATTTTCTAAATACATCTTGGCAGTTATAGCTGATAAAAGCGACGAGGAGATTCAAATAATGGAGGGTTTTACAAGCGACCGTAATAATAGACGTTGTGAATCTATCATTTGGTCAAATGGGATGTTTTGACTATATACACACGCATTTAAATAGTTACACTGTATAAAAGACAAGTATAAATGGAATAAATTTCGCGGATAAACGGCCGCATGCCTGACATACGACGTGTTACATAAAAGCGCTGCGTGTTTGTAATATGCAAATTATAAACTGATATTTATCTGCTTCTCTTTATCAAAATCATTGTATATGCTTGTTTGTTCAGTGTTCACTGTTTTTATGTATATTGCGGATACGAAAAGCGGTCTATATCAGAATATTGTTTTGGTAAAATATGATATATTAAATATAATTTGGTTTGTGGCTTCCCGCCATTTTGGAAAATTAGTCGCAGGCCTTTCCGTTCGTTTCTCACCAATTCTATATTTTTGAAAGGCCTGCGGAGGAGGTAGGCGAGAGAATATGATGTTGACATTGAGAATTATCCAATTTTGTTATGCTAATAATAAACAAGTAGTCATGCGATGTTGCTCGTACAATTAGGGATTAATAGTACTCGTGATGTTTGGAAATTTTGTCGAAATGGGACGAGCCGCAGGCTCTGTCGACCGCGCAGAAAGAATGAAAAGGGACAATAACTCCATCTTTGGCTTTACGTTCTGGACTCGAGTTCCCACTCCAGATCTATATGGCAATATGGGGCTCGCTGAATATACATCAATTTGCAACAACAAGCTGCAAAATAATCTGTGGATGAGGGTATCTTACAAGTTACAAGTAACCAAATCGGTCCAAATGATTCATAACTATATTAATTAGATCAGTCTTGCAGGAATCTTATCTACTGTCTACGTTACTTCGAAAATTGCTTACTAAAAATTACAGTTCTCTCAAAAATTCCTATTACTATGCAAAAAACTCTTATCACTAAGAAAAGTCCTGAAAAGTGAGAGACCTGAATTCTGAGGAAATCCCGTTAAAAGAAACTGTCAGGAGATTGGATTGGCCACAAAGCGGGGTAATAAGTAGCGGAACACTGGTAGAGTATATGAAATATTTTGTGGCCGTAGCGCGCGAATGTGGCCCCCGCCCCCCCCCCCCGTGTGAAATTCAGGCAAAAATCAGGTAAAATTCAAGTTAAAATTTTGACATTTTCAGGTAAAAATTCGTAATAAATTAATTATTTTTGTGAAATGATATCCATTTTTGTAAAATAAGGTCAATTTACATCCAATTCGTTTGCGAATTTGCTTTAGAAAACGCCAGAAATGCAGTCCTAGAGCTTCAAAAATGTAAAAATTTTCTAGGGGACGACCCCCAGACCCCCCTTTCTCCCCAAACTTAGTATTATAATCATTACACTTCACGTAAATTTTAACATCGAAATTCAAATTTCAGGTAAATCCTCCTACACCCCCACTCCCAATTTTAGATGCTTCGCTATGTTCCTGGGTGCAAATCTGATTCCTGGAGAGAGGATTGCCTTCCCCCAGTTAAGCCCGCCTCGCGAAGCGGTTAGCTCAGCAAGTTGCTCTCGTGTGCGGATAGTTTTCTTGAGGATTTGACCTCTCGAAGCCTTGAGGAAAATATCTATCGTGTTTGATATTTTTCGCCTCGTGAGGAAAAAATATCAGCGTCTGCGGATGTCGTGAACTAAGTGCTGAGCTGTTTGAAGCAATTAGCCAATGACAAACCATGGTTTCTTCATGTGACTTGGAGCAAAATGGAGGAAAATGCAAATGATTTTGTCGGTTATGTTGTTGTTGAGTAATTTTCCCAACGTGTGCGGTGAAAATACATAGCTGAGCTAGCTGCCTCGCGAGGCGGTTAGCTCAGCAAGTTCCTCTCGTGTGCGGCGGGCTTTATGTAGTTAAAAAAGATTTCGACCTTGATCTGTTCATCGAGCTGCATATATATGAAATACGATTTGTATGTATCGAAATGAAATCATGTCAACGTTCATATGGGTCATATGGGCGTGCATGGCATTTGGAATTGTGACAGCGGCGCAATCCTGAGATACATTACTAAAAACTGCTTACCAATCCAGGGATTTTAATGGAAACTATAGGTTTCGATTGCTCCTTGCGGTGACTTTTCAGCAACTGGCCGTAGTCTGAATACTTTGTAAATGGTTGAAGATTTTTAGGATCTAGTGTTTTTCCCACGAGTATCTTGTTTCGTATGACCATACCAAGATATCGAGTCACCCATCCTTGCTCATGGAGGGTAGGGATAAGAACGCTGCGTAGCAGCACATTGTGAGATGGTTGATTCAACAATGGAAAAGGTACAGCTTTGAAGAGGTCCGTTGTCTCGCTAGGATATATTAACGGTTTACTAGCGGGCGTGGTTAGCTTATAAAAAATATTTTGTTCGACCAGGTTAAAAAGACGTTTAACTGGACACATCCGGCGTTTCCCTATCTGTTGCTGTACTTTCTGTGGCAACGCAATACATGTTTCTTGAAGGATAAAAATAAAAAAAGCATAGTGCATAGTGTATTAGTATATTAAATAAATCTTTCTCTTTTAACTCTTTACGCAGCGTCGGCTCATCCTAACCTGCGATCATGCTCTTTATTAAATACAGAGCGTGGAACATGTCTTTATCCAGTCGTTTTCCAACAATATAGTTTTATATTTAGTATGCAATCAAAATGTCCCGGGAGAAATGTTAATTTCGTATGGCTACAAGTACTAAGGGATCGATTACATGGACCGAGTTAGCTCGCTTTACCGGGCTAGCCTAGCCTGCAAGCAGGTGTTTATTTGGGTTGGGCTGGAAAAGTAAACGCTTGCCCGCATGCGGCATTTGCGGGACTCGCTTGCTCACGGACGAAAGTTTCTCCTAGCATATCGTCACATGGGAACATATACGATTAAGTATTAAGTAGCAGGTCCATGGTTATTACTAATGACAGCAAAAATTTGTTGATGTTGGATTTATAGATAAATATAATCGAATGAATGCGAAAAAGAAAACCAATTTAAATTAATGGAGGAAATATTTTGGCTGTACTACATGTCAGGTTCAGTTGAGGTCGAGGGTCGAAAGTCGAGGTTCTACGGTCAAATATACTAACTTTTTATTAATTCATTTCCAGAATACTGCAATTTTCGTGTTTGTTGTCAAAATTTAATTTTAAAAGTCTTCCTGATAATAACCTATTTTTGACATAGCCAATTATGTTTTGCCGCGAGTGACTTAAGTTGTTGGTATTTTGCAGGTATTCTGGTTTCGATCAATACCACGGTTTAGGTAAAACAGATTAATAGATAGTGATTCTCAAAACAGATTGATAGATAGTGATACTCCCAAATCTAACAAATTCATGATAATCGGTGTACAAGTTATGTTGGTCACCACGGTGATATACTACCATTTGAAAGCAACCGCAAAATCCAAACTTTTTCTTCACGTTTGTTAACGTTTCAAACGTACACGATGGGCGGGTCAAACGTGCATGTTGAAACGTAACAACATTTAGTTTGAACCGCGAAATAGTGACGTTTGGGCGAGATTTGTCAAACGTCACTATTTCGCGGTTCAAACTAATTGTTGTTACGTTTCAACATGCACGTTTGACCCGCCCATCGTGTACGTATGAAAAGTAAGGGCCCATTTGATTTTTGAGGGGAGAGGGGGGGGGGGGTTGGTTGGAAGATTCCGACTGTGCAAGAATTTTTTTTCCGCCCAGGGGAACAAGACAGATATTTTTTCCTGTAAAAGTGCAGCGCACGATATCTTTTTCTCAATATGTTCCGCGGCAGGATATTTGTTTTTGCCTCTCATAATAACGGCTCCGACAGTAACTTAAGGCTTTCATATAGCTATCGTCAGAGACGTTCTGACGTAGCCGGGGTTTTCAGTCAGAGGAGGCCGAGAACTGAATCCCAAGAGAGGCCAAGGAATTTTCACTGTGCTTTATTTTATATGGTTATGTTATAATGTTCCCCACACTAAAGCGTGCAGTTTACTTACAAAAAATGTATAACTGCACCAAAACCGAAAACATGCAGGGATAGAGTAGAGTACTCGAAAATGGGGAAGGTACAGTATATGAATGACCTGTAACTTTGGGAGGTTCGGGTGCATGCTCCCCCGAGAAAATTTTAAAATTTTGAACCTCGGAAATGCTATTTCCTGCGTTTTCAGCCACGGATTCGTCCAACAACTTTGCTGTACTAAGCCTAAGGAACACTTACTGTCCTTTATTTTAAACAAGGGAAAATCACAAAATGAGCTTTGATTAATATATGGAATAAAACAAGATTTTAATAGTGTGATTTTTAACTGCTCTCCTAAACAACAATGTTCCACCAAATATAGTTCTGTAGCTTCCGGAACATCACACAAATTTTCCAAACACCATAAAATTTACAACAAAATTTACTGAATTTCCGACAAAAATGACAGAATTTGTCCCATTTATTTTTATAATAAACCAAAATTGCCCGACTGTTCATCGAATATTTCCCGACTGCCCAACAAACTGGGTGGGCTAACGCCCCCCGCCCGGTGCCTATGTTGTTGGGGGATCGGGTTGCATCCTCTTCAGAATGGTTTTAAAATCTAGACTCTCTAAACTGGCATTTTCGCATTAAAACCATCGTACAATACAGTACGTTCAACTTGCATCCTGTAGATGGGCCTTTGAAGCTTTAATAGTTTGGAGGTATGTTATCAAAAAAACGCACACAGACTCAACCATCCAAAAATACTTTTTCTACCATGCATATTAGATATGTATAAATAACTTATAAACTTGTACATATCTTAAGCCTAGATTTTCTCAGGGGGGGGGGCAACAATTTTGCCAGGGAACGCCACTGGCTATCGTATGTTATAGACTCCAAAGGCGGTAGAATCCCTGTGATGTTGTCCACTGTTCACCCCGTGTTCTTTTAAGCAAATGTGCTCAAAAATGCAAAATCTTACAAGCCTGTGGACACAATACTGAAGTGAAGAACGTCAGTAGATTTACATGTAGGAATTTTATTTTTGTGCGCTCTCTTTTGCATGATATTTTTTTTCTCGATTGTATACTGTAAGATTTTTTTTCTTTCTCCTTGGTTGCAGGAAATTTTTTTTCGATATCTTCCAACCCCCCCCCCCCCTCAAAAATCAAATGGTCCGCCCCTAAACAAACGTGAAAAAAGTTTGGGTTTTGCGGTTGCTTGCAAATGTTAGTATTATTGTAATTTCAACTATTTAGTTTACAATACGAAGTTATAAGCAGAAAAAAATCCACCTGCACTCCGAACTTCCGCAGTTTACTTCACACTGGGAACGATCATAGATTCATCACTCGATACTTATGTTTATAATGCTAAATGTGACCCCTGATCTTGACCATAAATATGATCCGAACCGGTGACACTAACTCGTAAAAACGACCGAGGCATGAAACTCAACTGTCATTGCCGCAAATCTTATAAGGAATTATAGTGCATTCATATTTTCCTGCAATTCATTTGGATAAAAGCCGAGACGATAATTGTCACTTGTGCAGCCATCTAAGAGGGTCTCCCAAGTGTTTTAGGGAAGAAGGGAACAATGTGAAATCATTTTTTGATATTTGTCTTTTCAAATAAACATGGAAACAGAGAACCCCCTCCTGGGAGACCGTCCTTTGAATTTGCTCGCATGGGCACAAAAACAAGATTAGCAACACGTACTTTTTAGGCATCCCAGTGGGCCTCTATTTGTCCATCCTTGACAACAGTCTTCGTAATAATCAGCAGCAGGTTTAGGTTTAGGTTTAGGGTGAAACCATCCGAATAGTCTTCGACACTTCCTGGACACAAAATTAGATTCACAGAATATACAATGAATTACTATATATATATATATATATATATATATATATATATATATATATATATATATATATATATATATATATATATATATATATATATATATATACACACTCTAAAAACACTCTGGTTAAATTTGGGTTTATTCAACCAGGATGGGGTTAAAAATCCACCTACACAATCCTGGTTAAAAAAATTAAACCATTTTCCTGCTTAAAAGTCCAAAGAAGTATGGTCAGATTTTTGTTGAATCAATAATTTTTAACCAGGAAATCAGTTAATTTAACCAGGAATGTGCTAGGTAGTTTATTGATCCAGTTCCTGGTTGAATTTAACCAGAGTGTTTTTAGAGTGTATATATATATATATATATATATATATATATATATATATATATATATATATATATATATATATATATATATATATATATATATATATATATATATATATATATATATATATATGTACTGTTTAATAAACGAGTAGGAGTGTTTTATCACAGATAAAACACGACGCGTAGCGGAGTGTTTCATATGTGATAAAACACGAACTACGAGTTTATTAAACAGCTTCAAAAACGTCTCAGTTAGATCACGGCATTGGCGAAATAATTTTCCAAAATAACTTTGTATTAGCTGAGAAAATACAAGTTGAAATTTGAAGCGTGTTTTATCACATATAAAGACACGCCACGCTTATGATTTCTCTTTGTGTTTTCCTCATGAATTATTAATGAGTTTTTGAAATATATATATATATATATATATATATATATATATATATATATATATATATATATATATATATATATATATATATATATATATATATATATATACGGGATGTATAAAAAAAAACGGAGTCGTCCTAAATATCCTTAGTTATTTCTATCGTAAAATAAACTACCTTAGTTTCGTTTTGTGCTCAATTTAAAGCTTGTTTTTTCATCTTTCGAATGAATGGTTTCTTGAAAATTTTGAACTAAGGCTAATCGCAATAAAAAGAATTTAGTGCAGGCGCTCGTTTTTAGATGCTTCGAAATATTAGTCTTCGAAGTCCCTTAATTGGGGACTTAATTAAATGTAGTTTTTTAAATTCAGAACGTTGTTGTTTAAAACTTTACAATCGCCATTCATAATGCCAAAGCTAACAATTCCGGAAAGAACATTCATTGTTGAAAAGTATTTCGAAACAAAAAGCGTTATAATTGTTGCAGTGTTAATAAGACAATTTCAAATAGCTTTTCCAGGACGTAATCTTCATCGAGCGTTTGGCGTAATGTCAACAAATACCGGCTGCATGCATTGAATGGAAGAACCACCACATAAAATTTAAATCGAAATAAAGGAAACTCGGGCTTGAAGAAGAAGAGTTATCTTGGATATGAGGCAAAGAACGAAGTTGTGTGAACTTAGATATGGAGGCCACGTTGAGTAAATGTGTACTTCCAACTTATGAAATTGGTGAACTTTTGTGAATTCAACGCATCTACGTTTTTTTAATTTTCCAATTGCACTTACTTAAATTGACACAACTCGCCAGCAATAATTCCAAATTTTATAACATAAAGTATATAAAATAGCCGAAAGATCGCGATTTCAAAAGAATGCAAGTATAAACGTCTAACTTTCATATTCGCTTTGAAATTCATACTTCATGTGAGGACTCCGGTTTTTTATACACCCTGTATACGCATGTTAAACTATTTACAAACCCTATACAAAGGAACCATACTTAATTATATAAAATACTAAAAAAGTACACTAAGGTTAAGATATACTGGCGTTATAGGCTTTACTACCGGCTATAATAAAACTATTAGTGAGTCTATTGGTCTTACCCCTATAGGTACAGTATTAAAAGAGTGTTATTCTTCTGTAGAGAATATTACACAGTATGACGTAATAACGAGGTTAGAAAAAAGTGACTCAAACGAGGACGTTTCCCATGGTCAAGGATGGCGTTGAGAATTTTGAGAGTTCGAGTTGAAGTCAAATTATATACGACTGGAGTTCGCAAAATAACTGTTAATTATTTAATGCTGTATGTAGCACATGTACCTTTCGTTGTCACCACATGATCTGGAACGTTTGGAGAGCACGTTATTTGTTGCGCTTTCTTCTTTCTTGTACTTGCAAACATTTGTTTTGCTCCAAAATCCTGAACATCTAGGAAAATTACAAAAATAACTTGTCTAGGAAACATCGAAAGCGGATCGCAATATAGATCATATATATTTCAACTATAGCCTAATTTGACTTTAAACTCAATCATTTAACCTTTGTTATTATTGGGGATTGAAGCGGAATAAACCGTTTGTATTATGTTCTGTATATGAAATGAATAATAATTATTTATATTAAGTTTATGTATGTGGAATGAAATAAAAAATACTGAATAAAAAATGAATGAATAGTTCCCGAAAACAGGGCGGTATGGCGATCGAGGGTGTGAGTGGTGCTAGCCCTCCCCATAAAAACCAATTGGTCATGTATTGAGTGAGTTCAGGTAAATTTAGGAGTGATTTGAACTGATTTTTAGGTAAATAATAAGAGCACTGACAGGCAAACTTGCAAGTTAAAAGCGAATGCAATGTTAAAAATGGAAAATTTTAGTTGCCATTTCTGTCTGTCTGAGGGCTGAATGTTCAAACTGTTTAATTCCGGGCAGCATTCCAATTAACCCCACTTAATCTAGTACGTTTTGTCCAGTATCCATTATACCAATATAAATTCTACTTATCGAACAACATATATCCAAAATAATTGGACAAGGCCGGAAAATATCCGAAATAGAGCTTGTTTAATAGACATATTATTTAAAATGCTTACTAATAAACGGCTTGGCCCGCTATGGCGGGCTATTTTCAAATGCTCTCCGGCATGGAAAAGGCACCGGTGGAGATCACAAAAAACTGCTACTGCCAAAAGTTAGAACTGAAACTGCACGAAAACAATTTGTATTCCAAGGAGCATTCCAATACAACAAACAGTCTAACGAAAGAAACATCAATAGCTACTAAGATTTTCCCCACTTTTTTCTGTATATATAAGTCTATTATTAACACAGGTCCTTGATGTATAGCAGCTTAGTAGGGCCTATAGCTGAGCAAGCTAACCTGTAAAAATCAACATGGGCTCCACCTTTGAATTTACTATATGCGTAAATTCTTAATTAATCAAATTTTGAATTTATCCCAACCCCAACCTCAACCCTAACCACTAACCCCTAACACTAACCCCTAACCCCTAATTTTTTAACTTTCTAAACAAAAATCTAACTTTCTAAACTTTTCTTGCTCTTCAAAACCCTTTTAAAACTTTTTAAAACCCTTTTAAAAATTACTTTTTTAAAAAACTTGAAACTGCCCCAAGTGCAGGGCTGCATGGTTTGATTCCTGCCCCTATATAGTTGCATTTTTCGAAACTAATCTTGGTTAGATCTAAATTATATTAAATTAATCTATAAATCCCACACTCGAACTGAATTTCCATCTATAAAATCCATCTGTAAAAATATAGTTAATTACTATTCTTATTATGAAAACTTATGCAATATATATATATATAATCAAAGATATATACCTTGCCACAACTGAAGACACAAGTGCGGGCAGGCATACGACATGGATGCTTTATACGTTTGCCATTTCACAAGATGACGCCCCTGTTTAATGATCTAGAATATGTTCGTAAAAGGTCCCTTTGTCACTTTGTGGGATACACTTGGGTTCCGTTGCGTAACGAGTTATTATAATTATTCTAGTAATAATGGTGTAATGATCTAGAAAAGAAACATATAAAATAATAAGCTATTTCGTTTTCCTATATGTATTACTTTTTTATTACATGAAATAAAGTCCCTATTTATTTAGAAGTTATTCCATTTTGCATGAGTACCTAAAACGAAGCACTGGGCCAATGTTGTTTAAATTAAATTAAATTAAAAGATCAGTTTCAAAGAACGGATAATTTATGTAGCTTATATTTCCTGCAGAAGGTGTTCAAGACTAGACATGATTGCCACAACACGGCGAGTGCACGTATATACAGGTTTAAATCTTAAATTCTAAGCGTGCAAAGCAATGGGAACATAATTTAATCAATTGGAAATCATATATGGGGTCTTTCTTATAGAGACATGGTAAATATCCCCTTACGAGAACAATTCATTCTCAAATAGCTGCAATATTCAAGTAAGATTGAAATATGTGATCCCATTATATGCTTTACGCGCTTAGCCTTAGGGTTTAAGGATTAAGGATTATAGAGTTTAAGGTTTCCAAAGGACAACCTTTTTAGAATTGGCTGTATATATGTAATTGTGTGTAATGTGTACGGGTGTATTATACATATATGTATATGTAGGCTATGTCAATACTGTACTTGTGGTTTTTCCATGCAACTATATTCACTACGACGCAACAATACATGTAAATGTGTGCATGCATGCATGTACTATATATATATATATATATATATGTACACATGTATGTCAATAATACCTGTGTTTTCGGCTTGCGCACAAAAATGGCACGCGTTTAATTTGAAACGCACTGAATTCGTATAGGGTGCAAATTCAGAAAATGTTTTTATGAATTATCAAAGTAAATCAAACACAGGGCCATAACTAGACGCGATACATGTACATATATTCATATTCATATATTCGTGTTCTGCCCGACGGATTTCTTTTGAAAGCGATTGTTGTTACGGTATGTGAACATGATTATATGAATATTCACCACTCCCCCCTCCCCCCAATTAGCACGTCTATAGTTATGGCCCTGATCAGACAATTTGATGTACATAAGTGCATTAAGTACAACGCCACGACCTCCAAAACTTGGACTTATTTGCCATAGTAGCTTTTAACACATATTTTTAAAACTTTTTGTGAAGAGCAGGAAAAACCAATCATGCACAAAATCAGTCGTGCGTGTGATAGACTTGTCCACTCCTGAATTACATTCTATTTCGTCTTATAATTGTTGCCACTTTGGCAAAAGATCGAACTCAGTTGGCGATTGGCCTTGGCACCAAGTGTCAAGCGTGCGCGATCATGCAACAAACGGATCACCAATACGTCACACAAATGCAAGTGACTCAGGTATAATTTGTCTTTATATTTACACGCTCTTGTATAGAGCTTTTGGCAACTACATCTCAGTTTCAGTTATTCGTTCGACCTGCATGGTTGGACCATAACGTGGTGAAGTCAGTTTATTTAACTTTATGCAGACAACCCAAACATATACAACTCCCTTTCAATCTAATATTAATTGTATTATTTTTAACATTTTTAATAAAATTTTCAGCTTATTTTGTAATATTGATATTATTGAATAAGTATAATCATAAATAACGTTAAACTCATAATTTCGGCAGCAACAAGAATTTTGAATCACCCACGACGCCATTATAATAGCTACTCTTGAAAATCCAATGAATTATCTTTCTACTTTACTTTAAAGCCTCCTAAGCGGAGCAATACAAAAAATAAATCTTTGAAATAAAGTTAAAATATCACCGTATCAATTTCTGTCGTTATTCTATAACCATATCTTGGATTGCTATCTTCGCAACTGTCTTTAAATGTCCTTACGCATTTATATCCCCCCTCCCCCCCGCAACCGCCACGAAAACCATTCTCTCAAAAAGTCTAAATCCAAAGACGATCTAAGACAATGAAGATTTACTGGAGGTGCTTGATGTGTAAAATCTTGTTTATTAAAGCATTTGTATATATAATATATTATATGATTCCAAGTAGATTTTCAACTGTTAAATTGCCAAGTATATCATTACCACAGCAATGAATATTTTTTCTCAAGTTTACTCTGTATCTTAGTGAAATGTAATGCAATTTTGGCGTCTCATATAGAATTATCTAATTGCAAAATTTCCGATCAAAATCACAAAATAAAGAGGTTCTAATTTTTAAAATAACTTGAATTCGGTCTAACAAAGAGAGATGTTATAAATATACAGATAGCTTGTCTGCTATAAGCAATTATACACTTTAATCTATATTACCAAAAACTGAAAGCATTTTTAAATTAATTGATAATTTTCCGACGTAGCTATGTTGATGTGTTTTTTTTTCTCAACAATTGTATTTTGCTTAATTTAGATATTTCGTTATCTTGATACCATTGTAATAAACCGGAAAATATCCTTGACCATAGGAATATAGCATTGAATTTTTTTCTCAAGTTTATTCTGTATCAGTATGAATAGTAATGCAATTTTGAGAAATTGCGTGAAATGGCGTCTCATAGAATTATTTAAATGCAAAATTTCCGATCAAAATCACAAAATAAAGAGGTTCTATTTTTTAAAAAATTTGAATTCGGTCTACCAAGGAGAGATGCTATAAATATACAGACAGCTTGTCACCAAAAGCTAGAAGCATTTTAAATTATATCAATACTCAAAGCTATATAAATTGCGGTTAATGGAGTAATATATTCTAGAAGACTCTATCTGCCAGAGGGTGTCATGCCAACACATCTGCGTCACAACGTCAACAATTAATCCTTACAAGGTCCATGTACCTCAATAGTAACCAATCAGAAATTATCCTGAAGGTTTTCCTTCACGTGCATACATACAATGGCCCCCCTTTTTGCGCAAGGACTTTTGATCGCACTGTCCATTTGCAAGACTTTAGCTAGTGCGTTAACATCTCTGGCAAAATTTCTGGCTAATAATTTAAGGGATGAAAACCTTGGCAAAGAAGTGCAAATTTAAAAAACCCACCCAACTCCCAATAATCATGTACAGTACACCAATCTGCGTCTCTACAATATGGCGTGTTGTAAGGACTGTTAATTAGAAAAATGAATATCCCTGTATATAGCTAAGCATGCTACTCGTATGAAGAAATGCGTCACTTGTGTGAAGAAATGCAATAAATAATTATATACTGGCAGGGAAGTGCTGTCCGATGGACAGCACTTCACCATGCACGTGAAACGCAATCACTGCTCATTCAGGTCGCACTGAAGACCTGAATGAGCAGACCTAGAGACTCGATGTCGTCAATCAGGTTATCAGTTGCAGTCCGGGATAATGTGCCCTATACCAATAGTTGTTCACCAGTCCAACTAGGTCTCAATGTCGACGGTCTGACCACAGTTAATTGAAGGGGATGGTTAGGCTAGCTCGTGACGTCACGGAATATGTTGCGGCCACTTGTAATTTAGTCACGTGCACAATAAGGTGCATCCGGTTTAAAGACGCTGAAAGCTCGAATTACAAATTATAAACACATACTGTATCGCTAACTTCGTCGTGAAGACAAAAGCATTGTGCGTGGTCTGGCGAATTTATTTATTTGGTTTAAAGTTTTTGAAGGATATGCCTGGCGCAAATTGCGCTTTTTATGGTTGTTCGACGAGCAGAAGCCACAAACTTTCGCTGTTCAAAATCCCAACAATTGGCGCGGCAGATACTGATTACACAAAGTCTGTGAAGAGAAAAACCCGTGAAGAATGGCTTCGTTTAATACAAAGAACGAGAGTTTTGACGCCAGAATTAAAAGCCAGAATAGAGGCGAATAACATTTACATCTGTGAGCTACATTTTAAGGCAGAATGTATATTAGACGGTAAGTTTTTGCCACATCTGTACGTATCTTCACTTTAAAATATTCATCAACCAGGATTTAGCATACAAGGCGTTGTTAATTCAGCATTTTTAATATCTGAAAATTTGCATATTATATAGGAAAACGAAAGACATTGGTGGCTGGGAGTATTCCTACTGAGAATCTACCTCAAAAAAAGTACGACGCTCCCAAACAAGAACGTCGTGTTCTTGAAAGAAAGCAACTCGAGGTTCCAAAGACGCCGCCATTACTCGATATTAACACCTTTACTGAACAGTTGCAGCGAAAGGAAATCGAACCGTGGAAAATTGTGAAGTCAAACAACGATGAAGTGCGACTGGAATATTATGACGATGTTCACAGTATTCCAAAGTATACAGTTATTGTAAATTCGGCGCTGGAATTCAGTGTATTTGTCTTCAACTGGTTGGTACCTGACCAGAACTTTGTATACGTGGAAAACAAGCGTTCGGTCATACATGTGGATATTGTAGGGCTTTTAAAGTATATTGAAAGTTCCAAACTTTGTGAAGGCTTGGAAGAAGATACTGATGTTAAGTCTGTTGCTGTTGACCCCACTGAAAAACCAAACCCAACAATTCAAACCTTGATTGTCCGGCATTCTGTTCCTAAAGTTATTGATCCTGAAGAACCACATTTTCAAGTGTCCATTCGATACCGCTCAGTTGGTTGTGACACTCTCACTAGCAGTGAACACTCGAATAGTTCATGTAAACCTTGTGAATCTGCCCTGAAGAAGATGAAGAGGGCGGTCAAAAGGAAAAACAGAGGATCTGCATCACCAGCTAAAGCAAAAGCACCATTAAGTAAGTGTGGACCAAAGAAATTACAGTCAACAGTTGTTTCAACAAGACTGCAAGTGAAAGATTTAGAGGATCGCCTGCAGCAGCTGCAGAAAGAGATACAACAGCACGGTGTTGGTATTAGTGAAACTCTCGAGAAGGACATTCTCACAATAATGGGAGGCAAAAATCTTGATGCCACACCACACATGAAGTTTTTTTGGCAGGAGCAAATCAAGCTTTTGCAATCATCCAAAATGGGTAGAAGATATCATCCCCAAGTCATCCGATTTGCTCTATCTATACACAGCAAATCTCCATCTGCTTATAGGGAAATACGAGACAGTGGTGCCCTTGTTCTTCCTAGCGAACGAGTTCTTCGGGACTATAAGAATTACTTCAAGCCCAAACCTGGGATCAATAAAGAGAATGTCGAAAGTCTACGTGAGAAAACAACATCTTTTACTTCAGTACAACGATATGTTGCCGTTGTCATGGACGAGATGAAAATACAATCGAGTCTTGTGTTTGACAAAGTTTCTGGAGATCTTATTGGTTTCATCGATCTGGGAGATCCTATGACAACCTTTGCTTGCCTTAGTGAAGATGATCCTATTGCATCCCACGCCTTGGCATTTCTTGTGAGGGGATTATGCACTGATTTGAAGCATATCATTGCATATTTCTTCACAGGAAATGTCACTTCCTTCCAAATAATGCCACTCTTTTGGAGAATTGTTGCAGTCCTAGAAGTGTCACTTCACCTATCTGTCATTGCAGCTGTTAATGATGGAGCTTCCCCAAACCGCAAGTTTTTCCGACTACATTCAAAGATTGCCAAGGAAGTGGATTCTGATGTGGTGTATAAAACACCAAATATTTATGCACCATCACGCTTCATATTTTTCTTTGCTGATTCACCACACTTGATGAAAACAGCAAGGAACTGTCTCTACAACTCAGGTTCTGGTAGTCGGAGCCGCATGATGTGGAAAGATGGGAAATATCTGCTTTTCCGTCATATAGCAGACCTGTTTTACAGTGACAGTGAGTTTGCATTGCATACTCTACCCAAGCTGACTTTTGAGCATGTTGTCCTTACACCCTATAGCAAGATGAAGGTACAGTATATAATTATTATTGGACATTCCATGTACAGTTTATATAATGACATTGATTTGTTTTTTTATTTCCTTTAGGAAGTGAAATGAAATAATATTTATAAGTAGCTAATACTATGACTAGAGGGAAATTAGTGATTAACTTGCCGAACGTCTAGGCATTCAAAGAGCTACTTTCACAAAACTTCCAGAGGCGAAGGGCAATTTAATATATTTCACGACAAGTCATTGTATTAATTTGTAATATTAATTGTGAATGCCAAGGGCAGATTGCACATGGTGTGTTAGTCTGTTTTGAATACTGTGGAATGAACACTTTTATATAATTATATGAAAGTGATCATGAAACTTCTCATTCTTTCTAGGCATGCGCATAAACTGAAAATTGAGGTGGTCATGATATTACTGTAAATATTAATATTATCAATATTCTTTTGATTAGGTCAAACTTGCTGTGCAGGTTTTAAGCCAGTCAGTTGCCATTGCTCTGAGAGAATCTGATGATGAAGATGTCACTGCAACAGCAGAGTTTTGTGACATGATGAATAGGTTTTTTGACTGCACAAATGTAAGGTCATTGACCGAGCATAGCATGAAAAGAAACCCATTCATCAGACCATATTCCTCCCCTGAAGATGAACGGTTAACCTGGATGAAAGAAGTGTTCTTGAAATACCTCAATGATTGGAAAGAAAGCACACTCGCCCGGGACGGGGACTTCTCTTCTGATGATCGAGCGAAAATGTTCCTTTCATCCCAAACCTATGAAGGCCTAAAGATCTCAGTGTATTCTCACACTGAAGTAATTACCTTTCTGTTGGCACAAGGATTTCAGTATGTATTAACAGAGAGGTTCATGCAAGATGTGCTGGAAGACTACTTTGGTCACCAAAGAGAACAGGGAAGAAGATCTGACAACCCAACTGCCAGACAGTTTGGATACAATGACCTCACAATTGCCACCCAAAGAGACATCGCTCCTGTCATTAGAGGCAATGTTGGTGGGCGATATGAAAAAGTTAAATGGCACAAGGTGAGCGATGAGCCTGTCAAGAAACGACAGAAGAAAAAGAAAGATTGAAAGCTTCACACTACTGTGAAGTGTATATTTAAATAACTAATGGTGTGGTACATTATAACTATATTTTTATGACTTATTCATGTTCATGTCTTTGTTCATGTCTTTCATATCAAACCAGTTAGAGACCTCATGTTTGATGACACAATTACAGTAGTCAAATTCATTGGTCATGCTATGCTCATGAAAATATATTACTTTGCTTTAGGAATCATTGCAACTTGTGCATGCAAATTTTATTTGTGTATACACAAATAGATTTGATCTATAAAGGATACTATGAATGAAAAAGTAACAGCATGGTTAATACTAGTTATGTTACGTTAAGGTGCACCCACACCAGGCAAGCTTGAAAAGTATGCCTGACCATGGTGGATTTGATTGGACCTACAACTAGGTCATAGGTTTGATGCCCCCACCACCGTGGCCAGGCATATTGCACTAGTGAATTGAACCTCAAATTCCGACCCCGGCAGCCAGGTACAGTAATTTAACAATTAACATTTTTAAGCTGAGAGCCTATCCATGGGGTTTAGGGGTCAGGATTTCAATTGACTAGTACATATATTTCAAGCTTGCCTGGTGTGAGTATGGACTCCAGAGTAGAGTAACACTACATGTACAAGCATCTTATTCACCTGAGTACTTTGGCCACCACAGAAAAAATCATAGCATGCATGATTAATCCACTAAGCTGCAGTGCACCCTACTTATTTTTTTGACAAATGCCAGACGATTTTACTTGTCAATGGGGAAGCTCTAGAGCTTAATGGGTTAATGCAGAGCTTTCCTGTTGACCAGTAAAATTGTCTGGCGTTAGACAAGTAAAAACTATGTCAACACTATAAAATAATTAGAGATAGTGCTGAAGTATTGTAAATATTTAATTTGAAATCTGAATTCATTTGTTACAAGTTTCAGTACTTTAATTCTTTCTTTCGTTTCAAGTCCTTTCTAAGGGCCTTAGACTTCGTTTGCTTTTGGTTGATTTTATATTTACTTATGAAGTCTCGTGCATAGGAAAACGAACGAACTCGCAAATATAGTCCAATAATGTTTTCTAAGCACAGTTTTTGTGTAGAGCACGACTGGTCTATCCCAGAATCTAAAACAATGTTTTCCCAAAGCGATTTGACAGTTGGAGAGTTTAACGTAGAAGCACAGATAATGTCTGTTGATATGTTTCGTACTGCCAGCTCAGTCGTTGTAACATGTCTTCGGAAAGAAATCTCTGCTTCTTCCAATATTGCAATTAAATCCCCACAAGGTTCAACAAGTCCTCCACGACTACGAGCTGAAATAAAAGTGTCGCCCTCAGTAGTTGACTTTAAGGAACGCATCAACGCTTGTAATTTCTCATTGGATGTATCCTTTCTGTTTCTAAACGTTTGATAAATCTTCGAAATTATATATCCTGCGATATATGACAAAGGACCACGTTCGGATTGATCAAGCTCTATAGGGTTGCTTGTTGTAGGGGTCGATGTTGTCGCTTTGTCTGCTTCTTTCCGAGATCGAGCTTCCTTGAAAAACACGACTAAGCGGTCTGGTATTTCGATCATAATCAAATTAGCTACATTTTGGTCAGCACAGTTTGTAAACATGTCACAACTAGTCGGTAACAGCCCATAAAATTCTTCCAGCAATTTGTCTCGATTTTGTTTGCGGCAAAACATGTTGTATATGGGTGTAACAGCTTGGAATAAAGCTTTACTCGAAGAAACATTTTTAAGAGCATCATTTATTTCATGCCCAAACAGATCGTCCTTGATAAGTTTTGTCTTAATCGCTTCGACAATGGAAACAAAATTTTCTTCCGACAGATGTGTTTCTTGCTCGGAGATACTTGACGAAGAATCATTTTCGCGATGTTTGGAGTTGGTATGCCTCGTCAAGCTGCCTTTCGACTTGCATATTTTTGTGCATTTGGGACAAGGAAACGACTTTTTACCTTCGATTTCTGTCACAGCCTCAACAAATTCAGCATCGATCTCATCACTTTCAGCTTCAACAACAGCGACAGACAAATTTAAATAAAATGCATCATCTGACAAGTCATCGGCTGGCGTTTCGAACCACGTCTCCGTTTCGTAATGCTCACTGGGGTCATCAACATACTCATCAGACAAATTGTATTCTTCCTCAATATCTATTTCACTCTCCATAGCGTTTTCTTTCCTTTTAGGCGTGAAACAAGCCCACTATTGAGAGTTTTATACAGCCTAATGTAATTTGACACTGTAATTTTATACATTGAAATCAACCGGAAATCAACATGATGCACCTTATTGTGCACGTGACTAGTTTTTCCTTTGAACCTCAACATAATTTGCCGCCCCTTTTGAAGTTTGCCGGCTAGCCTAACCATCCCCT